TCACTTATCACTTTTAAACAGTCTTAATTCGAGCTAAGATAATTCGCTTATCAAGCCTCATCATTTACTCTTTTATTTTGCTGCATCACTCTGACGACCTCTGCTTTATCTTCCTCATTTTAATCTCTATCTCTTTTAAAGACTCCAAATATTTCAATAAATATGTATTTGAACAACATCATCGTCGCCGCTTGTGGATTTTTTGGCTATTTCTTTGCTGCTGCAATCATACGTCTAGCGGGTGCAAAACGCTTGTTAAGTGAGTAGCATATTCACATTAAAATAACATTTACTGAAATTTTAAAATAGAAATTCAGGGTATAATGGGCTTGTTGATCTTGATCTAGCCATGTCTTTCAGTCCGTCCACCCGTTTACTCGTCTATTCGTTCGTATGAACGTACAGCTCTCGTAGACTACAAAAGCTAAGGACTTCATATTGTACGTTCACCACCATACGCAGTATGAGTTTATCAGATTTTTTCGTTAACATCTTCCATTCTCTTATTATTTATAATGATCGATAATTGGTTTGATGTAAAGATTTCGTTATTTTTAGATTTTGAATACCACGCTCCCTTTAAGAAAATAAGTATTGTATATACATATATTAAATACTAAACATTTTTACTTTGGAAGAAGCGTAGAAGGATTGGAGTATCAGCCCTTTGCCGGAGGCAGGGTATCTCGTAGTCGTAGAGCTTTCTTACTCCTTTTTTACTGCGTTTTATTTTGCATTTTAATATATTTTTAGATGCATATGTATAAAATATCGTATAATTATCTGTCTATCTATCTTTCGTATAGCCTATGGTCTGTTCATCTCTGGAATTCTCGGAATAGGCCTGTATTGGTCCGTAAATAGTGTGATGACAATTGCCCTATCCTCTGCCTATGTCACTGTCGGCGGAATCGCTGTCTCGTCTCTTCTGGGCGCTGTTGTTTCGCTCTTTCCCACGCAATTGCGGTAAGATATATACATAATATGCGATCAAATACAAATAAATGCATGTCATATATTTTATAGCTCCTTGGTGGTGGCCATCGCCATGATGTGTGGTCGCTTGGGCGCGCTGTCTGGCAACCTGCTCTTCCCGATTTTAATACAGATCGGCTGTGTCCCGCCCTTTGTGATGGTCGCATTTGTCATGCTGTGTAAGTTTTATACTCATTCACGAAAGTGAAATATTGAAATTTTTCCGATCCGCCCACTAGGGGCGTGACAAACCGGAAAATACGTTTTCCGAAATACCAGCATTTGAGCTCGAACGCTGAAATTTGGAATGTAGATTCGTGCTGATCACCCATCATCAAATAGCTATTGCGTATATATCTACGCCTATTAGAGGTGTGGCAGATAGGGTAAAACTGTATCTTCTGGAGTTTTACAGCTAGCACGCTGAAATTATGCATGTGAACTAATGTTACGATTCTATAAAGATTGATGAAATTGATATGTCCAGTAAGGGCCACTGGGGGCGAGGCAAATCGGATCTAGAGATATAGTAATTATTCAAATTCTGCTATATTTTCATAGAGACCTGATTTGGTATATACATATACTCGGGTCAACCAAGACCGCAAAAGTTTATATCTTCTACAGTTTAACAGCTAGAAGCTTTGGATAGTTGAGTTACTAGTAACTGCTACTCTCTTTAGAAACGTGTTTTATATATTTAATTTGCTTATTTTATATTTTTATTTCCAGTTGCTGGTGTGCTGTCTATTTTTATTCCCAATCCAACGAAAGCTGTTTTCGCATAAATGTTTAATAGCTTTATTGTAGCTTTTAAGTTTTCAGATAAATATTGCTTAGGATATCCTGTATATATTGTAGAATCGTAGTCTTTCTTCTCATGTAACATGTATTTATAGAGAACAAAATTATATATTTGAAGGCTTTTTGCTTTCAGTTATTTTTAAAGTGATTGTTTTATTTTAGTTAGTATTCTTAGTGTTTAATTTTCTATGTATAACATGCTAATCTTGTAATACATGTATGTGTAATGTAGACCTATACATTTATTAGTTTACTTATTTAGCTCACATACTCAATATATATTTATGTATGGCTGCTCAATTCGTCCAAAATATTATTTTGTGTCTCAAGTGTGAGGCCGTAAATGTGTATTCTCTTCCTTCTCATGACGTTGAGAACGTCGAACCAGTCTTTCGCCTGTAAATAAAGAGAATTCATTTGGTTGCTTTCATTATAATATAATAATCAAACTTACTGTTTTAAAAAGTTCATAGCACTCAGCCCAATTATGACAAGAACAGATTTAATGCCATCTTAACATTTGGCCGTGCAACCCTAGCAAAGGTCAATTTGTGGACGTCACCCGCTTTGATATTTATCACCTTTGTTAATATGGCCACGGATTTCCCGGCACATTCGAACACCTTTAAGGAAAAACCTGAGCGAAATTGCATTTCAATAAAAAGTACAAAAAATTAAAAAAAAAAAAACAAGTAAGAAGGCTCCAGTCGAGACTGCTCGACTAGGAGATACCCTGAACCCTCCAAGCTGATATTCTAATCATTCTGGTCTTCTTTTATGCACACATACATACACATGCACTTAGAAGCACGCGCTCTGCCAACTGCGCTTGGGCTGCGCTGCAATGTGGGCAATATTATGAGAATTTATTTGTTGAATAATTTCTTTTGTAGACATACAATCTTAATGAAACTTTCAGAGCGTAATCATATGGTTAAAATGTGTGTACATTCCAAGGCACAAGTCTCTAGTACTTGAAATGCGTCCATTAACTCTATATAAAACGCAAAGTGAAGTCTCCAGGTTTAAAAGTGTTCAAACTAGGCTGAAAAAACCAAGTCGATTTTTCAATTATTCTCGATAAAAAAGTTATCGGATGAGTTATCGAAAAAATAAAGCAAACGCGTACTGCCTATGGTATTCACGAGTATGCATGCCAAATTTCAGCTCTCTAGCTCTTATATCTTCTGAGATCCTTTTGCTCATACGGACGGACAGACGGACAGGGATATATCAACTCAGCTCGTCGTCCTGATCAAGAATATATATACTTTGTGGGGTCTGCCACGCCTCTTTCTGCTTGTTACATATATTTCAACAAAACCATTATATTCAATAGAATATGTAGATCATATGCTGAAAGTTTCATTAAATTCCGTTAAGTCAATCGACGTTAAAAAATAATAATATGTTTGGCCAATTAACAAACGCACGTGCAGCAGCTTCGTATGTATACGTGTGCACACATACATTCAAATTTCTTCTAGGCATTCTTAGAATCACATCACCTGTTAGTTTGGTTTAGTTTTGCTAGATGGCGCTGCAGCAGTGAATCTATTTCAGTTTTGCCAGCGCGGCTTCCAAAAGTGAGGTGGTATAGTGAGTAGGGGCGTGACGCTCGATCGAGAATCTATTTCGGCGCTATTGAAGCTAGAGACTTGAAATTTGGAATACATACTCGTGTATATCTCCGATTTATAAAGTGTTAAAATTTTCCCGATCCGCCCACTAGGGGCGTGGCAAATCGGAAAATGCATTTTCCGATATACCAGAAATCATGTTAGTTAAAGAACTAGAAAGCTGAAATTTGGTATGTATGTCCGCGTCGACCACCCAGAATCATGAGCTATGGCGGATATATCTACGCCCATTGGGGGCGTGGCAAATCGGATAAAACTGTATCTCCTAAAGTTGTAAACCTAGAATGCTGAAATTTTGCACGTCAGCTAATGTTATGATTCTATAAAGATATAAACTAAAGATAAAATTATAAGTCTACGCCCATTAGGGGCGTGGCAAATCGGACCTGAAGATATAGTGATTTTTTATGTTCTGCTATATTTTGGACACTATTGATGCCAGAGACCTCAAATTTTGTATATATACTCGATCTGATCACCCAAGACCAAAAAGCTTTGTCGGATATATGTCCGCCCACAGGGGGCGTGGCAAACCGCAAAAGCTTATATCTCCTAAAGTATAATAGCTAGAAGCTTCAAATTTGGATAGTTGAGTTATTGGTAGCCTTCCCTATCGATTCCTCAAAAAATTATTTTGACGTCTATTTAGGGGCGTGGCATATCGGAAAATACCCTGTAATTTTTTTGAGGGTAAGCATTCAAGCTTTGCAGTTATGGTACCGTTATCTCGTTCTAAGAACTGACCAAAAATGAGGTGTCTACGCCCAGTAGGGGCGTGGCAAATCGGAAAACCTGTATATTCTACAGCATTAGAGCGACACTTAACTACTAAATTGTTGATGGTATGTGAATGAGTATTCCGCAGTCTGTAACGCCCGACTGCAACGTTCTTACTTGTTTTTTATTATTTCAAAATGTTTATATATTTTATGAAATGAGTTTTGTATTTCATTTATATTTTTAAATACATCGAAATTGAAATTTTAACCATACTAAATGTGCATTTTTATTAGTTTAGTTCAGGGTAGTCGAGCACTCTTGACTAGAGTTTTCTTACTTGTTTTTAAATTATATAGATTTATATAATTAAATAGTTTTTAAAATTTTAAGTACAAAAAAATTTTTCTTTAAACAAAATTTTAACACAGTTTGTTATCTTTGTGATGCGGCCGGAAAAGAATGAATTGAGCCATGTGGCTCTTTTTATAGGACCTTAAGCCTCTCTCATTCTCTCTTTTGGTACGAAGTGAAGCTGGGTGCAGTTTGCCAGCTGTGTCCCAAAGCTTTAAAGGTTTTCTTAAAAGCTCTAGTGCGAAAGCTTAGATTTTGAAAGCTCAGCTTGGCATTGCAGTGCTGGCAACAAAGTTGTCGGAAATGGTATGCACTCTATATATATGCATGCAATGACCATTACAATTTGTAATTAGATTAAACGTATAAAGAAGTGCTGAATACAGATGTTAAATAAGTACAGTTACAAGTGTCAAATGAGTAATTTTAACAGTTTCAGATGTCCGGTGCATTTCGAAAAGAGAAGTCTTAGGTACTCAAGCTGGTTTAGTTCAAAACCAATTTGTAGACTTAAATTGGACAAGCTCAATTTATTTGCCGATTATGAATTGTATATTTGAATATGCGTTATATATCTAAAACCAATTATAGCTGTTACTATTGTGGTTTTAGTGGTAGCGGTAGTGGTGTTTCTGTCTTCAATAGATCGTATATGATACCGGTAGTGGTGTTTGTGTCTTCATTAGATCGTAAATGCTATCAGTAGAAGCATAGCAGCCCGACGCTAAGATAGCTAGCACAGCAGAGAGAAGTATCTGTGAGTAAAGGCAACAAAAAATAAGATAATTAATTTTTAGAGAGTAAACATATTTGTCTTCATACCAGTTTCATGTTGATTTTAGCTTCCGTTAAAACGAAGATATCACTTGGGCTTGGCCCTTCCATTTTATACTCTTTTCGAAAGCATGACTACAGCGAATCGTAATAGCTATGCGTATCCGTGATGTATCAATTTCACAAAATAATTTCCTTAACTTCTCCGAATTATAATATTACTAGTTGTCCCGGCGAACTTCGTACCGCCCAACAGTCTCTATATATATAAAACAAAGTAGAGTTTGTTACAAAACTTATAATTCGAGATCTGCTGCACCAATTTTCATGGTTTTTGATTTGTTAGATTTGTCTCTGCCCCGAATTGGAAACAGGCATTGTATTTTTGAGTGCTCGCTAGAAAAGTAGGGAACGCAAGGGCTTTGGTGGCGGGGCCACTAATGGCAATGTCACTTTACCACTAAGGCAGCACAAACCGGGCGTTTCACCAGCAAACTTCAATGCGCCACAATGCTGGCAAACAACGTCCATTGGACCAATGCAAACTAAACGATTCAAGCTATAGTCAATGGTGCAATCATATCGAAACGCTTCTCGATTCAAATCAATCCTTGAACCATTTCTTATTGCCATTTCACGGGCTGCCTCTTTGAGAAGCACGAATTAAGGCCCTTCTTTGCTGGGTACTAACGCGGAGCCTTTCTCGGGCGATTTCTCGCTCTTCGTCAGATAATTGACTCGCGATATTCCGTTGCCTAATTGCATTATGGGTCCGCCGGGAAAGATTAGATCTTCTAGAACGCGGCATTTTTATTAATAGTAATACTGCCCTCGCACAAAACCATATAAAACAATCGAGAAATATAAATATAAATAATTTACACAAATTTATGTTTGAGACAAACAAATACCTGAACATTCGAGATATTTAGCTTTTGTACGCAAGCGCACAATTATTATTTATAAAGTTTAAAAGTCCAAAAATATAAAAAGCCAAAAATACACTTTTTAATAATTAACTTTTTTTTTTAATTTCGAATTTTTTATTTATTTTTGATTAGTCAGGTTTTAATCTTTCGATTTTTTTTTAATTTTTGCAGATTTTTGATTTGAAATATTTATTAAGTTTAAAAGTCCAAAAATATAAAAAGCCAAAAATACACTTTTTAATAATTAACTTATTTTTTTTTAATTTCGAATTTTGAATTTTTTATTTATTTTTTGAACAGTCAGGTTTTAATCTTTTGTTTTTTTTGAATTTTTGCAGATTTTTGATTTGAAATATTTTTCTTTTTGATTTGGAAAAATTTATTTTTATTTTATTTTTTTATTTTTTTTTTTTGAATAGTCTTTTTATACCCTGAACCCATTGAAAATGGGAAATCAGGGTATAATGGTTTTGTTAAAAGTATGTAACAGGCAGAAGGAGGCGTGGCAGACCCCACAAAGTATATATATTCTTGATCAGGGCGACGAGCTAAGTCGATTTGGCCCTGTCCGTCTGTCTGTCCGTCCGTCCGTCCGTCCGTCCGTCCGTCCGTCCGTCCGTCCGTATGTATGAACGCGTCGATTTCAGAAGATATAAGAGCTAGAGACTTGAATTTTTTTTCCCTAGGTCCGTGTATATCACGCGCATATCAAGTTTTTCTTTATATATCGATAACTACTCCCGATATTTTATTATCGATCAAAAACCTTATCGAAAGCAAGTTATTTAATTATATCTTCTACACCTTTAGAGCTAGAGCTTGCAAATTTTAAATGTAGACTTATATGTATTTTATATAATTTCGATTTTTGTTGTAATTTACCCCCCACCCCTATATCCACCCCCTCACCCTCACCTTTGTAAAAGGCGTATTTCAAGTACTAGAGACATGTGCTTTGGAAGGTACATACATTTTCACCATATAATTACGCCCTAAAACTTTCATTAAGATTGTACGTATAGAAATTAAATTATTCAACAAATAAATTCTTATAATGTTACCTACACTATAGCGCTGCCCAAGCGCAGTTAGCAGAGCGCATTCTAATACGTGTGTGTGTTTTTTTTTTTGTTGAATAGTCTTTTTTGTTTTTATACCCTGAACCCATTGAAAATGGGAAATCAGGGTATAATGGTTTTGTTAAAAGTATGTAACAGACAGAAGGAGGCGTGGCAGACCCCACAAAGTATATATATTCTTGATCAGGGCGACGAGCTAAGTCGATTTGGCCCTGTCCGTCTGTCTGTCCGTCCGTCCGTCCGTATGTATGAACGCGTCGATTTCCGAAGATATAAGAGCTAGAGACTTGAAAATTTTTTTCCTAGGTCCGTGTATATCACGCGCATATCAAGTTTTTCTTTTTATATCGATAACTACTCCCGATAATTTATTATCGATCAAAAACCTTATCGAAAGCTAGTTATTTAATTATATCTCCTACACCTTTAGAGCTAGAGCTTTTTAAGACTTATATGTATTTTATATAATTTCGATTTTTGTTGTAATTTACCCCCCACCCCTATATCCACCCCCTCACCCTCACCTTTGTAAAAGGCGAATTTCAAGTACTAGAGACTTGTGCTTTGGAATGTACATACATTTAAATATTATGATTATGTTCTGAAAGTTTCATTAAGATTGTACGTCTAGAAATTAAAATATTCAACAAATAAATCCTTATAATGTTTCCCACACTGCAGCGCAGCACAAGCGCAGTTAGCAGAGCGCGTTCTAATACGTGGATGTGTATGTACGTGTGCCGAAAAGAAGTGCAGAGTGATTAGAATATCAGATTAGAGGGTTCAGGGTATCTCCTAGTCGAGCTGTCTCGACTAGAGTCTTCTTACTTGTTTTTTGTTGAATAGTCAGGTCTGCTCGAGGCTGTGCCGTAGACTGACTGACTACATTTGTTTATTTACTTCTATACAGGACCGAAACTGTCACTGTTGTCAAGGCTACTGAGTATAAATGGAAATTTGAATCTTTAAGGAAAAAACCGCGTTTTTCAAGTATTCGTCAAATTTTTTTCAGTATTTTAAAGATCTACTGGCCTACTCGTGGAGGAGACAAATCCAACAAATCAAAAACCATGAAAATTGGTCCAGCAGATCTCGAGTTATAAGTGCTAAGACACTTTTACACAACTCTCTTTTATATATATAGATTTGCACTGGAACTAAATCATGTGTAACATCACATTCACTATACTTTCAGGACGGAAGTCTCTAGTACTTGAATTTTTTATTAATTTGGATATGAGCAGGGGAAAAAGTTGAGTAGTATCCGATTTCCAAATAATATTTAGATTATAAGTTAAGCAGATCTAGATCAGCTTCAAATATAACCAATAAGTCAATGAGTTTGCATTTTTGCTAAATTGGCTAACATTCAATAGAACACGTAGCTCATATTTATGGGGACATTTGAAATATCAACCCACATCATCTTTTTAGATTCATTACTTGAATCATTATTGATTATTTTCTCGGGTTGTTGAAAATATATAAAATATCAATATATTTATATTTTTTGTGTAAAATTATATTTATATCGGAATATTTTTTACCCAGGTATCGATCTTTATACGATATTTTTCATATATTTGTGTTAGTCACTGTTGGAATTAGTGAACCAACTGCAAAAATACAAAAATGTAATATGATGAAAGCGTATTATTCTGACTTCAGTTCAATATATGCTTTATTTCCAAATTATTGCATGTTACATATATGTAACAGGCAGAAGGAGGCGTGGCAGACCCCACAAAGTATATATATTCTTTGTCAGGGCGACGCATGAGTCGATGTGGCCCTGTCCGTCTGTCTGTCTGTCCGCCTGTCCGTATGTTTGAACGCGTCGATTTCAGAAGATATAAGAGCTAGAGACTTGAATTTTGTTTTAAAATTACTATATATACAGTGCGAATGTCGAGTTTGCCTTTAAAATTCGATAAATCATCCCGTTATGTTTTTATACTCATTCACGAAAGTGAATTATTATACTCATTCACGAAAGTGAATTAGTATATTGGTTTTGTGCAATGTCCGTCTTGCTGTCCGTCCGTCTGTCCGTATGAACGCAATCTATTTCGGCGCTATTGAAGACTTGAAATTTGGAATACATACTCGTGTATATTTCTGATTTATAAATAAAATAAAATAATCACTCTGAACTTCTTTTCGGCACACGTACCTACACACGAACGTATTAGAACGCGATCTGAAAGATGTAGGAGATATAATTAAAAAACAAATTTTCGTAAGGTTTTTAATCGATAACGAAATATCGAGAGTAGTTATCGATTCTGTAACGTACTTTTAACAAAACTATTATACCCTGATTTCCATTGAAAATGGGTTCAACGTAGGGTTGTTGAAAATATATAAAAAAAATCAATATAGCGATATATTTTTCAACAAAAAATATATTTATATCGATATATTTTATTGCCCAAATATCGAATATTTTTTCATTATTTTTAATATACTAATTGCGTTGGTCACTCCTGTAATAAGTAAACCAAATGCGAATGTACGAAAATTGAATATGGTAAAAACTTATTATTTCGACTTGTGAAAACAAGGGATAACGCATTAAATATGGCGTCGCATATGAAAACAAGCACTATGCTTTTGAGTATGGAATAGTGGAGTTAAGCGGCCTTTTTTATTTAAATAAAAAATACTTAATATTATATATTATCCGAGTTTTATGAGAAGGAAACTCATGCCTTGTGCCTACTTGAGCATGCAAAAACGCAGTGGAGGTTTGGATCGAAATCCTGCGATATTTTAGGCACTGTTGATGCAGTTGCATATACAGTCGGGTTGACCACTCAAGTCCAAAAAGCTATAGCTGATATATCTACGCCCACACGAGACTTGGCAAACTATTTCTGTTTTAAATTTAAAAACCTTAAACCAGTCGAGACTGCTCGACTCAAATATTTTCTGAACCCTTAGATGGACAGATATACCAATAATTCATAGTGATCGTAGAATTACCATCATCATCAGCGGTTGGACAGTGTAAATTGAATCAGCTTGTTGCTATGATCCAGAATATATATACCTTATGGGTTTTGCCATGCCTTCTTCGGCCTGTTACATACATTTTAGCAACACCATTATATATATTATAAGCATATTGTATATTCTTGAACAGCGTAATGTGGTAGTCCAATTTAACTTTCGATGAAAAACGACAGATCATTTGCTTGACGCAGTAGAAACCCCTACCTGGCGCAAGGCAAAATATTGGAGCGTGGAGTGAAAAGTCTGAGTGAAAGGCGCCCTGTATAAGGGGCGGCATTATTTAAGTCGTGCAGTAACTTAAAGTGAATTGAAGTGTGTCATTGTCCAGCTAAGCATTAAAGACTTAGAGAAAAAGACGGAAAGGAAATACTTAAAGGAAACAGTGTAAATTCGTAAAGGAAAGACGTAGAGGAAATACGTAGAGGGAATACGTAGGGGAAATACGTAAAGGAAATAGGAGAAATACTTAGAGGAAATACTTGGAAGAAATTTTTAGAGGAAATGCCTAAGTAATTATTTAGATGAACTATTTAGATGAATAACTTAGAGAATTACCTAGAGGACATAGTTAGAGACATACTTAGATACATTTGCGTAGTTTGTATGAAATCAAGAGGGGCATTGATCAAAACCAATATACTCATTTCACTTTCGTGAATGAGCATTAAAATACTGTCCGATCACAGTCAATATCGCAATAGGTTGAGTCTGATATTTTTTAAATGTAAAATTTGTTTTAATTATTTAGAAAAGTGATTATAGGCTTTCGAAATTTTTTTGATTATTTCATAAATCTAGAATGCCTAAAGTTTACTTTCAAAATTTCTCGAATTTTTAGTTGCACTCTATTTTATGATAGTAGTCGCGGTATAGATGGCCAAAGTAGTAGAAGCAGAGGAAACTGCAGATTTTGAGACTGCAATTTCAGCATGTGGCTTCGGTGTATTTAATGTTATAATTATTGTCTGCGCGCTCCCCTGCTTAACATCAATGGTATTCTCTGCCTCGGTGATATCTTATGTGATGCCAACGGCTGAGTGCGACCTGAACCTCAGCGTAATGGACATGGGAATATTGAATGCGATGACCTATTCAGGTAAATGATATCGAATAGATATTGAGACAAAGGACGACTTCTAACTGAGTTTTCTAGGCATGATTTTATCAGCCATACCGTGGGGCTTTGTATCGGACACACTCGGTCGTCGCCCGGTTCTAATCTATGGCGGTTTCATTGACGGTATCTTCGTCCTCTGCTCGGCCCTAAGTCAAAATTCAATCCAATTGATGATATTTAAATTCTTCGATGGACTAGCGTGGGTATCAAGCTAGTCTTATATGCTGTCCTTGGCCCAATTATATCTACTACCTTCCTGCAGTATCTGCGGCCCCTTTGCGGTTGTCATCAGCTATCTGGCCGAGTTCCATGGCCAGAAGCACAGGCACTATATAATGTTCCTTATCGGCTTATGTGTTTCCGTTGGAGCAATAACATTGCCATTACTGGCCTACTTAATACTGCCACGGCACATTTCTTTTAAATTGGGAGCCATGAAGTGTAAGTGGAATCCTCATACTTGCTGTTGGAGTTTCTTGTGCTCATAATTTTCCTTTTCAGTTCACACATGGCAGGTGTTTTTGGCTATTTTGGCTCTGCCAACTTTTTTAAGTGGACTTCTGCATATCTTTCTGCCGGAAAGTCCCAAGTTTCTTATGGCTCACGGCTACTACAGCAAAGCGTTAGAATGTTTTCAACGTATTTACGCAATGAACAAGCGCACAAGTCGCAAAGCATATCCGGTAAGTTATAGGGTCATCTGCAGTTGAATGATCTTATTCTAATATCGGCAATTCAGATCAAAAGTGTGAGTGATGTCAAGCCAGAGCAAATGGAAGAAAATCAGTTATCGGTGATGCAGAGGTGCCGCAAGGCTAAGTTTATATTTTGTGAAGGACTAAAGCAGCTGAAACCAATGTGCAAATGCCCTTATCTGGGAGTGTCTATTCACGTTTATCTGCTGCACTTTTGCCAAATTATGTGGTAAATATTACAAATAAATTTTTAACAGCTATTCTTTACTTCTGCGTATAATACATACAATTTACTTATTTAAAAACTTTTTTGAAATCTGATCAATATAATCCAATTCTATTATTATAATATTGTATTTGAGAGTTTATCTTCGTAGTTTAGCACGTTACACTAAGCAAGAACATGTAAATAATCGTAGGAAAAAAATATTAAAAAGAAAGAGATTTATCGAAAATACTTACTAAAATAATAATAATGATAACTATAAACAAAACTGGTTAGGGATATTTTGAATGAAACGTTTCCGCCTTAAGAAATTTGAATAAAATATTAATTAAGAATTAGATTTATATTGTAAGATACTAATTATTTATTATATTTCTCTAATCAATATTCCCTCGGTTATAACATAGGAACTATTAATTTTTATTATTTTGAAATTTTAAGCTTTCAAAGTTTTCATTTTAATCTCTGTCTCTACACACTGATACTTGCAGTGTAAACTCGATTCGTTTGTGGATGCCAAAAATCTTTGCCACGATGCACGCCTTTGAGGTGAGAGGAGATGCGGATCGGAGCATGTGCGCAGTCCTCAAGCACAATTCCGAAATGAACTTCACAAAGGAGCAGAAAAGTCAGGAATGTGACATAGTAGGTAGGCGATTTGTTGGCCCAAAATTTCAAGCATTAAAATAATGAACCTGCTCATACAGCATCAACAACCAGGATCCTACACTGACAATATTATAGTTTCAGCCATTGGTCTACTAGGATTTTTAATTGTTTTTCCCCTGCTGAGCTTTCAAGCATTCGCCAGCCACATGCTCAGTAAGTTTACCTCTATTTTAACAGTAACACTACCTCTATTTTAACATAGAGCGTACTGACTAGACAAAATTTTCTTTTTTTCAGAGATCAGTCTGTTTGTTGCAACAATCCTCGTCGGGGGTCTGTACTTTACCAACTCGAGTCTCTCGATGCTTCTTATCTCTGCATTCTATTTAATGGTCATGGGGATCTGTGCGTCCACTATTATGAGTATGACTGTGGTATATTTTCCTACTTTGGTAAGGTATGTATGTCGAACGGTCGAATCGAGTAGCAAAGAGTCGATTTTACCTCATTGCTTGTAAGGGAGATGTGATATTTATTTTTGCAGCTATTTTATCATTTAATCTATATACTACATTCACAATCTTTTTATTGCTCTTTGTAGAACAATAGTTCTATTATTAATTATGACATTCGGACGTTTGGGTTCGGTTACTGGTAATATATTATTACCATTATTTATCAAAATCAACTGTTGGGCACCTTTTGTTTGGCTTACTTTTCTAATGCTGCGTAAGTATAAATAAATATTTTCTTACACAAATCTGTTAATATTCTGTAATTTTGTATTTTTTTTAGTATCATTTGTAATGTCCTTGTTCCTGAAAGTTAATATTAAACAGGCACTTAACTGACAACAATGTTTTGATAAAATTTAGTAATAATTTATAATCCTAGAAATTCTATTGTCAAATATAGAAGATATAACAAATTGCATCTCGCATTATTCTTTTTCACTTCGCTACAAAAGCCAAATACCCTTTGGGAGAACAGATTGTTGTATTTATATTTTGTATCATTATTTATACATGTTTTAATTAATCAAGTCAGGCGAGTGTACTTTGTCATGATGACAAAGTGAATGCTGCACCTGGTCCTCGATGCCCCACTCAAAGTCTGGCCCCAAACAGCTGTCACATGCTAATTATATTTGTAATAGTTCACAAATTGGATTTGAGTATATAGACTTTTTTCTGTGATGGGTTTTTCAACATTTAATAAACTGAAAAAGAGGCAGCTCCGAAATGATCCATTAATGAATATATGATGTACCAGTTCTACAAATACTCGTAGATAATTTGTTTAGTCCTGTATTATCCGGTCGGCTGCACTCTACTGAAACTCTTTTAATTATTTTCATTTGACTGCAATTAATAAGCACATGCAAAAATGATTGCGCTTGAGTAAATTTTAATGTACAATAGAAAAAAGTGATAGGAGAGGAAAGGCTCGTGTCTTGAGCGGAGTGAGTAAAATCAATAGAGACTTTTGCTCAGGGTTATTAAATGAAAATGTATTCTTAAGTTAAACTTATTTTAAACAATCTTTAAATTCATCCAAGGTTTATAACTAAGAGGAAGATGAGGACAAAAAAAAAAAACTATACCCATTTCTGTTGTTGAAGTGGTCATATTTTCTTTACTCTTCAAATTTTCTGTTCAGCAAAAGATGAAAAGTGTTGAAAGAGCGCTTAGCAATCAGCTCCATTCCAACCATTTCACATTAAAGCTATTTCTCAGTCATCAAAGCAAAGTCAATGGTAATTGACACATGTTTCCTTGTAAAAATCATCAATTGGAAGTGTTCTTTGCCGTTCCATTCGCTTAGTTGGTATCGAAATTAATAGTTTAGGATTTCCATTCAAACAAATAGATTGTCCATCTAAAGGCATTTGACAATTGAGCATTTCAGAATTTAATGTAGTTTGCTTAATATGTAAAAGTATTTGGGTCTTATATATTTATTTAACAAGTTTTTATCCAATCAATTGAAATAAGAATAGAAAGATACAACGATTTTTGGACATTCCTACTAATTTTGTTTATTTATTTCGTTCAAAGTTATTATATATATTATTTATTTATTTTAAAGTCGCATCTTATTTGCTATACGTATCTCAGAAGCCCCCTAAAATATTTCGTTCCCTGCTTTCAGCATAGATATAAAACGTTTTAAATTTCTTTTCATTTCATATAATCTTTTGTTTCCTTTTTGGATTGAACTCAAAATTGAAATCATATGCCAAAAAGTTTCATATGAATTTATAATTTGTTGGGGGAAAAAAAAGAAACTGATTCGGAAAGGCATAAAACTACGAATAGTTATAATAATGTATCATATTTTTTATAGTTCCTTTTTGGATTGAACTCAAAATTAAAATCATATGCCAAAAAGTTTCATATGAATTTATGAATTGTTGGGAAAAAAAAAGAAACTGATTCCGAAAAGCATAAAACTACGAATAGTTATAATAATGTATCATATTTTTTATAGTTCACCCATTGTATTTAATCCTTGTACTTATAATGCATATTTAATATGTTTGTTAACATAAAAGAATGGAAAGTATGATTTATTATACTGCCAAATATCTGATTAGTAAATGTGTAACGTATAGTATAGGTGTGTGTGTGTGTCAGCTGTAACATTAACACCACAACAGCCAATGCGCATAAATTTTACATAATAAACATGTTGGAAACATCATGAATATAAACAAGAGAGCAAATGTGCAAATGTGATGGTTGCGAGTGTGTGTGTGTGTGTGTGTGTGTGTGTGTGTGTGGGCGTATCATAGGCCGCACACAGTAAATGTATGTCATAAACTAAGCGCAAAAACAGGAGTGCATATGTCTGCGTATAAAAAAGCTAGTTCAATTCGCACACACGTGAGTGCGTGTGTATGCGTCAATGTGTCTGTATGGAAGATGCATAAATGTCGAAATGGGCAGTCGTAATCTGAAATGCGCTAATACATGGACACACTCACTTGCAGAAAGAGACACAAACACATAAACCGCTAGGCGTACAGGCGAACTGTGAAGTAGACTCTCAAGCATTTGCAGACTTCAGCCAACATAAATACAAAGGCCAGGGAAAGCCACAATCAAACAAGACACTTGTACATCCCACACATTGGCGCTAGAGCACGGTCCACTGTCCTTGTCCATGTCCTCTATAATGATTTACAGGTCATTCATCATATCCACACGTAGATGAGAAAATTATTTGCCGCAGCCGCAGCCTAAACAACGCCAAAGCCGATGGCAATAAGTGTAAACACCAATAGCAACAACAGCAACAATGATGCTAGCAAATTAGAGAGCATCGGCTCGCGCACTCTCTCTCTTTCCTTTCACGCCTGCAATAAAATGTTGCCAAATCCTTAGCGTCATGCTGCGAACTCCTTAGCAACATGCTGCCAACCATTTATTACTGGCGTCTCTCAACAGGTTGTGCTTTAATGTTGCAAACCATGTGCCTCTGATGTTGCGTTGCTCAGAACTACAACGCTTTGGCAATAGCGGCAGACATTTTGTAGTCGCAATGTGGAACGAAGCAGTCGTCGGCAACACTCTTAGCTCTAAAGGTCGCGCGCGAGCACGACATCCTGTAATTGTATTTAGCTGTGAAATTGTACTTAAGTGAATGTGCGTTGTTGTTGATGTACCTCGAGTTGACAGTGAACGAAACAAAAGATTTAAGCAACAAAATAATAGTAAAGTCATGTAAATGCTGAAAATAAATTAATTAAATGGATTTAGTGTAGTTTTAAATATATGTTGAGCGCTTGAAAATGTACCGTTAAATAAATAAATAAAAATATAAGAAAAATATATTAAAAAGCTAAAGTATAATTATTCAACTGCAAGTCTACAATTATCATTGTTTTTATAGTTATTTAAAATATTAGATAATATTTAATATTTAATTAGAAAACAAGTGTTATCAAATAACTAAATTAAATAAATTACTTGTGAGTAAACAAGTGTCAATAAGTGTGGAAAAAATATAATCCTAAAATATTTATAAAAAATTGCTTAATAATATTATTATGAATATCATAAAACAGTCGTTGTTAAGTATTACCTTAAATAGATTACCTGCTGTTTTCAAAATGATAAGTTAATAAACTTTTTAAATGTCAAATATTACTTTGTGTGCTTAGTTTAAAGAAATTAAATTTTTGCCGCTCTATTGCAATTTAATTGTGTGCTATAATTTAATAAAAAGCAGAATTAAAATAATAATATATTTTAAACAAAAAGGTTAAAAAAAAGACATTAATAAAAAAAGTAGCGACGGCTGTGTATACGATATACTTAAAAATTAATTAAATTCAAGAAAAGTGTCAGCAAGTGCAATGCGTCAGAGCGACCCCGATATTTTTTCGGCTAATACTACGAAAATAGTTATTTGCCACGCCCAGGTAGTGGGAAGGCTTAAGTATTCATAAAAGCCGATTAATCTTTCGCCAAAGGACTTCCAACGTAAAACACAGAAGTTGAGCATAGAACGGATAATTAAGCCCCGCAAAAGTGACATTTACAGCTCCTGCTTCAACTTTTAGAACTCCTCCCGCTGCTGCTGCTGCTGTAGTTACCTAAGCCCTCTTACCTACGCGACCAGCTATATAGCGCTCTTTGGAAGTGCAGTGAAATAAATTGACGCAACCAACGATTAACGGCTCCCCCTCTTTGCACGTCACTCTCTCCCCTGGTACACAAAAGATAATGTCGGAAATTGTGGATACTGAACTGCTGGTGAACTGCACAATTCTCGCCGTGCGTCGCTTCGAGCTGAACAGCATTGTGAACACAACGCTGTTGAATAGCCTCAACCGTACCGAGGTGGTCAGCCTTCTATCCGGCATCATCGAGAACCGAGATAATCTCGGTAGCATCAATGAGGCAAAGTAAGTTGTCTATGGGGAGGGTCGTACCCAAGGCACAGTCAGACAGACATGAAGTCTTAATTTACCTTCCAAATTTAGTTCCCATCTTGATAAATGTTAATTTAAATGACTTAATTTCAAACTATGTTCAGTTTGATTTATTATGTTATATACATATATATATATATATTTATTTGTTTACTCCGACTAGAAGCGAAACTGCAATTTAAATTGATTTTTATGCGATCTGAGCTAGGTCGCTAAATCCGGACTAATCGCTTTGTGAGCCTTTACCATTAGTATAAATTGTTTAATTTAGTAATTGGGTATTACGAACAGCAAAATAATTTAAAATATTAATCTAAACGATAATAAAGGAGCTTTTGGTCGAAGTGCTCCCTGATGTCGTGTGGAAAAACAGTTTTGTCATTAAAGCTGTAGAGTTTATTTGGGTAATACATACTTATATACTAATGTAAATCAATAGAGGATGCCTACATGACAGTCTTTAAAATGTAGAAAATACAGGTTTTCCCGATTGGCCACGTCCCTAATGGGCGTAGATGTATCTGTGTGCATATGTGCCAAATTTCAAGTGTCTAGCTTAAATTGCGGCATTCATATGGACAGACGGAATAACGGACAGACGAACATTTCACAAAATCAACATTTCATTCGTGAATGACAGCTTACAATAAGATATTCTATAATACAAACAAAAATATAATAAAGTATATATATAAGTAAACAACTAAATAATGACAACACAAAAAAGCACAATACAATTCAATGAACGAATTAAGGCAGCCGCCGACAATACAAAAATCTATTGAAGCATATAGCGTTGAAAGCGGGCACTAACCAGATATTAAAGGCACAGTCATCCCACACTGTCATGGGCAGCATTATTGAAATGAATTTTTGATGAATATTCTATATGTAATTGGGACACCTGTTAACCGAATACTTTTTTGGGGCACAGGGACTAGCGCATATATAAGGCGGAAATAAGTAATAATTGGTTTCTGATGAATTTAATG